CAATTAATACACTAACGGTGCGAAAATCAGCCTATTTTTTTTTTTTTTTTCGGGCGAAAAATCAGCCGATTTTCGACCTGTCTATGGCCTGCCTTAGTCGGGGAGTAGCACCTTCTTCGTCTTTTGTCTGCCCACAAGAAAATTGTTTCACCAGATTCTTTAAAGCCCACCTGAAGTCTCACTTTTTATCTCATTATAGTCGTCTACTCTTGCCATAATCTTTAACCAAATTTTTAGGTGCAAAATGTCCTAAAATTCATTTTTCAGTAAAAATGCAGCTCCTTCCCTTACATTGCAGTGCCCTGTGCTGGCAGAGCTGAGTAACAGTCATACCCCTCACCACCAGTGCGTTCACATAGGCACGTATTGTCTGACCAGCTCTGTTACTGAGTGCTGATTATTGCTTGCACTGGCTCTAACGTTGGTGCCAATTACACTACATAAGATAATTTGGACACCCTGCACAGATAAAGGTGGAGGTAAGACTATGAAAATAGATTATTTATTTCAGGTACTTCTATAGCACTGTCAATTTACACATATATATATTGTACATTCACATCAGTCCCTAACCCTCAAGGGGCGTACAATCTAAGGTCCCTAACTCACATTCATACATACACATATTAGGGCCAATTTAGAAAGGATCCAATTAACCTACTAGCATGTCTTTGGAGTGTGGGAGGAAACCGGAGTACCCGGAGGAAACCCACGCAAGCACAGGGAGAACATGCAAACTCCAGGCAGGAGGCGCCATGGTCGGGAATCGAACCCATGACCCAATATGAATATGAACAATATCTGACTGCATCTCTATTTCTGTCAATTCAATTCGGCTTACAAAGCCATCCACAACTCTGCCCCCAGCTACATCACCAACCTGATCTCAAAATAGCAAACTGCTCTCTTCGATCCTCCCAAGCCCTGCTGCTCTCTAGTTCCCCCGTCACCTCCTCCCATGCTCGCCTCCAGGACTTCTCCCAAGCTTCTCCCATCCTATGGAACTCCCTACCCCAATCTGTCCGACTATCTCCTATAGACGATCCCTGAAAACCTCTCTCTTCAATGAAGGCTATGCTGCTTTTAAGTAGTAAACTGCTTTTACTTTCTCCATCAGCTCATCCCCCACAGCTATTATCACTTCCTCCTAGATTGTAAGCTCTAAGGAGCAGGGCCCTCCGTTTCCTCTTGTACCAAACTGTACTGTAACTGTAATGTCTGCATGCATTTTGTAATTTGCTACACAAACCGTTGGCGCCATATAAATCCTGTATAATAATAAAAACCCCTTTCTGTTGACAGTACCCCCTTCTCACCTACAGTACACAGCCTCACTGATGTGGGTCTTTATCCATGGGGCAACATATAGGCACACCAGTCTTTGTCCAGGGAGGGTGCCGCATAGCAAGCTCCCAGCACAGAGATCCTCGGGTCTTATAACAACGATCGGGACCCAGGAATCCCAGCCTCTGATTGGCTATCAATAATCAGTCCCTTTGCAGCCCACCCGTGTTTTCTCTCTTCTGAATGGAGAGAAAGATACACTTGCAGGGAAGAAAGATGTAAAACAAAAATGTGTAAATAAATAAAATATTTAAAAAAATAAAGAAAAAAAATAGCTAGATTATGGTTTGATCAAGATTAGTGTTAGGTAAAGGTCAAAGAGGTCAGGGTCATTTTATTTGGGTAGCATTTTTTTTTTTAAAAAGCATTTTTTAAATTGGTATCAGCGTCACTAATACCCGCCATAGATGGGTTGAAAATCAGCCGATTTTCGCACTGTTAGTGGGGTAATTGGTCGGCCGTTTTTTGGATTTTTTTTTATCGGTCATATTGGAAGATTCGCGGCCAATTTTGACGATCTTCTGATTTTCCCAGCAATTATGGGCAAATCGGTCGATCGTTTTACCGATAAAAAATCTGCGCATGAGCCTGCGACCTGCAAGGGACAGAAATTATGGGGTGAACTTTGATTTTGTCAGCCGATTTTTTTTTTTTACCTTTGGTGGCAATGTCAGCCAACTGAACGACCGATTTTTTGTTTTTTTCTCCGAAAAAGCAGCCGATTTTTGACCCGTCTAGGCCCTGCATTAGTGTGTTTTAGGTTGGAAAAAAAAAGTAAAATGCACACCATTGTTTCTGGACTCTTCTACAGGTACAAATAACATGTGTGGTATCGTTGAGATCGTCAGGAGCAGGAGAATATATTTTGGGTTGCTCTTGGATGGTAAGTTGTAATAGTAGCAAGAACTATGCATACATTTAAAAGCGATTTTTGTTTTTTTTTTTTTTGTTTTTTTTTTAAAACCAGTTTTCTATTAATAAAAAAAAAAAAAAAAAAAAATCAGGAGAGATCCATTACCATTTACCACCAAAAGAAAGTCCAATTTGTCCCGAAAAACAAGGTATAATCCACCTGGATGTACAAAGCAGTAAAGTGGTTGCGATGATATGGATAGTTTTACTGATACATGTCAAAGTTGCAAAATTGTGTTCGACCATTAACACTTAGGCCCCTTTCACACGGGCGTTCTGTTTTTTCAATAGTTCAGTCACGCTTTTTCCCCCCCAAAAAAAAACCGCATCAGCTCACATCAGTTTTTCATCCATCCGTTCAGTTTATCGGAAGAAAAATAGGGGTTTCTTTCCATTTAAAAAAAAAAAAAAAGGATGTTAACAGATGCGGACATTAACCACTTGCCTACCAGGCACTTATACCCCCTTATTTACCAGGCCAATTTTCAGCTTTCAGCGCTGCCGCACTTTGATTGACAATTGCACGGTCATGCAACATTGTACCCATATGAAATTTTGATCATTTTTTTCTCACAAATAGAGCTTTCTTTTGGTGGTATTTAATCGCCACTGGGCGCTTTACTTTTTGCGCTATAAATAAAAAAAGTGCAAAAAATTTGAAAAAAAAAAAAAGTTTCTTTGTTTCTATTATAAAAATTTTCAAACAGGTACTTTTTTCTCCTTCATTGTTGTGCGTTGATGAGGCAGCACTGATGGGCACTGACAGGCGGCACTGATGGGCACTGAAAGGCAGTACTAATGAGGTGTCACGGATAGGCGGCACTAATATGCAGCACTGATAGGCGGCACTGATAGGTGACACTGATGATGGGTACTGATAGACGGCACTGACTGGCATCACTGCTGGGCACTGACTGGCGGCACTGACTGGCACAACCGCTGGGCACTGACTGGCAGCACTGCTGGGCTGCACTGGTGGGTGGCACTGGTGGGCAGCACTGGTGGGCACAGGTGGGTGGCACTGCTGGGCACAGGTAGGTGGCACTTCTGGGCACAGGTGTGTGACACTGCAGAGTGGCACAGGTGGGTGCACTGCTGGGCACAGGTGGGTGATCTGCTGGGCACAGGTGGGCGGAGCTAGTGGGCGCACTGCTGGGCACAGGTGGGCGGAACTTGCGGGTTGCACTACTGGGCACCGATCATCAGTGCCCTGATGATCGGTGCCGATCCCCGCTCTGACAACTGCCGGTTCTCGGCAGTACTTTCCTCACGATCTGACAGCGTGAGGAAAGTGCAGCCGAGAACCGGCACTTGCATTTCCCTCTGATCAGCGTGTCATTGGACACCGCTGATCATATGGTAAAAGGCCGCTGTGATTGGCCTTTTACCACATCACGTGATCAGCTGTGTCCGTAGGACACAGCGCTCACGGAAATCGCAGGAAAGCGCGTTCTGGGAGGACGTCATATGACGTCCACTCAGAACTGGCTGGCCGCAGTGCAGCCGTCATTTGGCTATCTGCGGTCGGCAACTAGTTAACGGATGTAAACAGATGACCATCCATTTACATCCACTAGTCCATAGAAATACATGGGGGTCCGTTTTTCATCCGTGCACAGACAGATGAAAAATGGACATACGGAACGCCTGTGTGAAAAGGGCCTTAAGGGGTTAAAAAGAAAGAAAAAAATAAAAACAAACAAACAAAAAAAAAAAAAAACAAACTCTGTGTAAAGTCCAAATTTTAATTCACAGCCTACACACAAACACCCTCCAGTGGTCATACGATGTCAATTCATTTTATTAGTTTACAGTATACTAGGTACACCGCAGGTTCAAGGTTAGGTATATAATTTTTCTGCAATACATTTTCTTTTGTTACAACCAAGTTGATTTTTCACCAGAAAGTGAACAAATCTTAAATCACAAGTGCTATTTATATTAAAGTCCATGATTCCAATTAATTACAAAACAAAAGTAAAAAAAAAAAAAAATTACAGTAATTACAGTTAAAATAATCATCCTAGGTATGCTCAGAGGCCGATCAGCAGGTCTGGAGGAGACACACTACAAATAACACATTGTTTCCAGGTCAATGGCACAGAATATCAACACTTTGTTTGACAAAGAAGGGCTCTTAAAAGGTTCGGTTAAACCAAACCCAATATTTCAGTTTGGAGTAAAGTAGAAAGGTAAAAATCACTCCATGGTACTTGTATTGTCCTGGAGCTCCAGTGGCAATATTCCTGCACAAGAGTTCCCATCTCCAACCATCTGCTGTGTTTGGGACTCTGGTGGAGAGAGCTCACCACTGGAACCCCACCATCAGACATAGGAAGACAGTGATTCCCCTCTTGAGTATCCACCCAAAATGAAAGATCTTTTAGGTTGGAGTGACTCCTTAAGAGATCACCAAAAAAAGTACAAATTTGTTTAAAGAGGCTCAGGCAACAACTGGCTCTCTGCCTGCCCGTGGACCACAGATCCAAGCTTGCACTACTGAAGACACAACCCACCATATTGGGTTTCCAGCTCCCAGAACGATTGCCAGAACTGAGTAGCTGGAAAAGATTTGTCCTTCAATGTCCTATCGTCAATCCATCTGGGATCCGCCTCGGCAAAGTCAATTGCACACTGCCATAAAACAGCACTGATCACGTAGGCACCGGTTTTCCCTCAAGTTCTTTTCAGTAGTGGTTCCAACATGGAGAAGGTGGCCTCGACCACCCTCCCCACAGCCAGTATTAAGCAGGGACCCGGATCCCGAAGTACTTCCGCAGCTGTTCCAGAAACACGAAGGTCAAGACTGTGTGTGGGACGAGCCTGATGCCAGCCGGAACAAGACCCTGAAAGTGAAGAATAAGAGGTCAGACAGAAGGATCGTACACATTCGCTATCATGAAGGAGAGAAGCCTTTTCCAAAAGTTTTCATTCTTCCCACTAAAGTACAATATGAATTCTCCGGAAAAAGAAAAGAGCCACCACTCTGATGTCATTTACAGATGTGCTCAAAAGTTCGCATCCCCTGGCAGAAAAACTTTTTGGCATTTATTTTGAAAATATGACCGAACACGGCAAAAAACTTTTTATGGAAGGATGATGATCATATGAAGCCATTTATTATCACATAGTTGTTTGGCTCCTTTTTAAATCACAGTGATAACAGAAATCCCCCAAATGGCCCGGATCAAAAGTTTTTCTCCCCTGGAATGTTTGGCCTGGGTACAGACACACAAGGTGACACACACGGGTTAAAATGGCAATTAAAAGGTTAACTTCCCACATCTGTGGCTTTTTAACCACTTGCCGGCCAGCCGCTGTATATAAAACGGCCGGACGGTGGCAGTACAGGGGCGGGTTGCGGTTCATAAACGGCGCCCGCCTTTTTGGACTGTGCACGCTCCCTGGGTGCCCGCTGTGTCCTCCGGACACAGTGGAACACCGATCGTCACAACCTCTGTGTGAGGTCCCGATCATGTGATCACTGATTGGCCAATCAGTAATCACATGAATAGTAGTAACCAAGATGTCACTTCTGACATCATTGCTTACTACGTGTGAAATCTGTGAATGATCACAGAAGTCACATGGTACAAGGCTATTCACAACAGCCTTGTACCATGTGACAAGCTGTGACCAATCACAGCTCACACAGTAGTTCTCAATGGCTGCAAGAATGCAGCCAGAGAGAAGGAGAAATGATTGCTTTTACAGCCTTTATGGGTGTAAACATTCTTTCACCAATGTTTGTAGAAGCAGTCTGCATGCCTAGGTGATGATTTTATATTCCTGTGGCCATGGAGGGGATTGGAACACCTGAATCCAATGATTTGGAGGGTGGGGCCAATACTTTTGGCAATATAGTGTATTACACACATTAACACTTGTTAGGCGCACACTTAACCCCTTGATTACCCTGAGATGTTAACCCCTTCCTAGCCAGTGTCATTAGTAACAGTGACTGTATATAGTATTATCACTGATTACTGCATTAGTGTCACTGGTGATGTCAGTGTCAGTCAGTTCCCACCCAGTGTCAGATTGCCTGTTGCACAGTTCCATTATAAGTCACTGATCACTGTCATTGGTAGTATATAAAAAAAAAAGAAATCCCAGTTTATAAAACATAGTTTGTAGACGCTCTAACTTTCATGCAAACCAATCAATATACACTCATTGGGAATTTTTTTTTTTTTTTTTTTTTTTTTTACCAGAGGCATGTAGCTGAATACATTTTAGCCTAAATTTATGAAGAAATTAGATTACTGGATATGTTTAATAGCAGAAAGTAAAAAATATTGTGGGGTTTTTCTTTCAAAATTTTTGGTCTTTTTTTCATTTATCTAATTAAATATATAAAATCCAGTGGTGATCAAATACCACCAAAAGGAAGCTCTATTTTTGTGAAAAAAAATTTATATAAATTTAATTTGGGTACAGCGTTGCATGACTATGCAATTACCAGTTAAAGTAGCATACTGCTAAATAGCAAAAAAAGACCTGGTCATTAAGGTGGCAAAACCTTCTGGAGTGGTTAACCACACTTAGATGCATTTTTTTGTGTGTTTGTTGATGCACATGTCGGTATGCGTTGTGTGTTGCCCATTCAAGATCACTGGTCCCACTGTGTATCCAGAAGCCAATAAACAAACCACACCACAACATCTGTATGTATGTATGTATGTTGTATATCAAAGAAAATGTCCACACACAGCTTTATGGTACCCCATGCATAAGTGTAGTGGGCCCAGACACCCCTTTAACCCTCCCCCTTCCTGCTATTACCTTGTAAAAGGCCAGGGGTCCCAGTTTTGCCGTCTCCATGGCACAGTGAGCAACTCCCTGGTGGACAAGAGACAGACGCAGCACAGGTTAGGAACAGGAAAATGCCAAGAGTCAGAGAATGGGCATCAATACAACACCTACCCTGTACTCCCCCTTGGAATTCATCAGTCGTGTCTTCAGGACGTCTAGTGGCTGACAAAGGAATGTAGCACATCCACCCTGCAGAGCACACATGGCTGCCGTTAGATCATAGACAGCTCCTCCTCACATTAAATAAAGTGCACCTCCACCCTAAACGGTAAACTTGACATTGTTCAGCAAAATAAAAACTATATAATCCACATTGTAACACTTTTTTTGCTTGGGTTTGTAGCGCCTCTTAGAAGAAAGACAGCGAGAAAGACAGACAGAACAATGATCAACATAACAAAAGTAAGCACCAGAGAGACAGCAATAAAAAGAAATAAAAGAAAAAAGGAGAAGGAGAGAGAAAGAAGTATAAAAATAAAACAAATAAAAATAGAGAGCAAAAAGGAAAGAGCGAGAGAAAGCAATCAAAAGAAAAAGGAGAGAGAGAAAGAAAGACAAAAAAAAGGAAAATAGAGGGTATGAGATAGAGGCAGAGAGCGTGCTAGAGCAGTGTGGGAGGGGAGGAGGGGGAGAGAGGGGGGAGGAGGGGGAGAGAGAGAGGGAGGGGAGAGAGAGGGAGGGAGGGGGAGAGAGAGAGGGAGGGGGAGGGAGAGAGGGAGGGGGGGGAGAGAGGGAGGGGGAGGGAGAGAGGGAGGGGGAGAGAGAGAGGGAGGGGGAGAGAGAGAGGGAGGGGGAGAGAGAGAGGGAGAGGAGGGGGGAGAGAGAGAGGGAGAGGAGGGGGGAGAGAGAGAGGGAGAGGAGGGGGGGAGAGAGAGAGGGAGAGGAGGGAGGAGGAGAGAGGGAGAGGAGGGGGGGAGGGAAAGAGAGAGGGAGGGGAGGGGGGGAAGAGGGAAAGAGAGAGGGAGAGGAGGGGGGAGAGGGAAAGAGAGAGGGAGAGGGAAAAGAGAGAGGGAGAGGAGGGGGGAGAGAGGGGAAAGAGAGAGGGAGAGGGAAAGAGAGAGGGAGAGGAGGGGGGAGGGAGGGAGAGGAGGGGGGAGGGAGGGAGAGGAGGGGGGGAGGGAGAGGAGGGGGGGGAGGGAGAGGAGGAGGAGGGGGAGGGAGGGAGAGGAGGAGGGGGGAGGGAGGGAGGAGGGGAGGGGGACTGGGGGAGGGGGAGGAGGAGGGGGAGGAAGGAGGGAGAGGAGGAGGGGGGAGGAAGGAGGGGGAGGAGGAGGGGGGAGGGAGAGGAGGGGGGAGAGAGGGAGAGGAGGGGGGGAGAGAGGGAGAGGAGGGGGGGAGAGAGGGAGAGGAGGGGGGGGGGGGAGAGAGGGAGAGGAGGGGGGGAGAGAGGGAGAGGAGGGGGGGAGAGAGGGAGAGGGAGGGGAGAGGGGGAGAGAGGGAGAGGAGGGGGGAGAGAGGGAGAGGAGGGGGGGAGAGAGGGGGAGAGAGAGGGAAGAGAGAGAGGAGGGGGGGAGAGAGAGGAAGAGAGAGGGGGGGAGAGAGAGGAAGGGAGGGAGAGGGAGGGAGGGGAGGGAGGGAGGGGGAGGGAGGGAGGGGAGGGAGGGAGGGAGGGGAGGGAGGGAGGGAGGGAGGGAGGGAGGGAGAGGGAGGGAGGGAGGGGAGGGAGGAGGGAGGGAGGGGAGGGAGGGGAGGGAGGGAGGGAGGGGAGGGGAGGGGAGGGGAGGGGAGGGGAGGGGAGGGGAGGGGGGGAGGGAGGGAGGGAGGGGAGGGAGGGAGGGAGGGGAGGGGAGGGAGGGAGTCGGGGGGGAGGGGGTTCTTGGGAGGGAGAGGGAGAGAGAGAGAAAGATAATGCAATTAAGAGAAAGACAGAGACAAAACCAGAATAAGCAACAACACAAGAGAGAAAACAAAGAAAAAAAAAAAAAAAAAAGGAACGATAGAGGGGAAAATAAAAAAAAAAAAAAAAAAAAGAGAAAAACAGAGAGTAATAAGGGCAGAAATGTCTCTCACCGAGCACCAGAGACGCCCAAAAGGTAGGCGTGATCTAACCTCGGACAAACACTGATGTTCTATCTCTTACATAACAAACAAAAACAAAAAAAAACAAAAAAAAAAAAAAAAAAAAAAAAAAAAAAAAAAAAAAAAAACTTACTGCAATTGAACTGGCAGAAAGTGGGTGAAAATGTTATCAGACATGACGCCGGAGCTGAGAACTAGCTGCTTAGCCTGGTCATAGCAAGCCAACTGCAAGAGATAAAACACAGCAATCACACACGAGTCACATGACATCAAATACCTCTGTACACCCAGATATTACTATATAAAAGAAGTGGTGACATCATTACTGTGCCATAAGAAGAGCTGTGGGAGGGACACAGCAGGTCCCACCCACAACAGACTGCCTGCCAAAAACTGCTGGAGGGGGCGGAGACCAGACCAGTCACCCGGCACAAGGAGAGAGAGCAGCAGGAAGCTCCTGGACAAAGGCAAAGTGTCACATTAGATTACTGCACAGATCTGGAATATTTAATTAAAGTATTACTAAACCCAGGACCCTGCATTCACTATATCCCGTCTCCCCGGACCCTGCATTCACTATATCCTGTCCCCCCGGACCCCGCATTCACTATATCCCGTCCCCCCGGACCCCGCATTCACTATATCCCGTCCCCCCAGACCCCGCATTCACTATATCCCGTCCCCCCGGACCCCGCATTCACTATATCCTGTCCCCCCCGGACCCCGCATTCACTATATCCCGTCTCCCCGGACCCCGCATTCACTATATCTGGTCTCCCCCGGACTCCGCATTCACTATATCTGGTCTCCCACAGTACACAGAATATGGAAATGCAATTATTTTAGCAAATATAAACTGCTAAATACCTTTTCTCATCAGCAGTATATAGCAGTCTTGTGACTTCTATCAGTGTCCAGCTGAGCACTGAATAAAGCTTGTAGGAGTTTTCTTTCTGCTCTAGAAAGATGCAGGACCCCTGACCTCTGTTTGGACAGCACTGATTGGCCCTGTGCTGATCACATGCACTGTCCCAAGAAAAAAACAAAACAAAAAAAAAACCTCTCTATCCATACACACCAAACTGACCATGTGCAATGACCCTGATCTTCCCCTTCTTCCAGTGCCCTCTCTTATCTCCTGATAAGACATATCGTGTGGAGACACTTTGCACATGCTCAGTTTAGTGTGTATTGCTAGAGAGTTTTCAGGTTATCAGAGCCTTACCTGGCCCACAGTTACAAGGGCTCCCCTGCTGGATGCCATGGTGCCCCCCCGAGAAAAGCTTCCGGAATCCCTCTAAATGATAAGAAGAAGAGTATATTATTCCTTTCACAAGCACAGCCATACCAATGTCACACAATTGCATCAAAACTACCTTCTCTGAGGACTCTGTACATGCCGTCCAACGCATGAGCATAGCTAAAGGGGAGACAGAGGAGAGGACAATCACACTGAGAATTTAGGAGCCGCATACTCGAATATACAACCCAATAAGGAATTATATTGCTTAACAAAACTGAGCCACTGCAGAAGACGAGTCGTATATGTGGGGGCTCAAATTTTTCTTGAGGGGATGTTATGTGCTTGGGTGCAACTTTGATTTTTTTTTCACTAATATAAAAAAAAATTCTACTTAAATTTTTTTTTCCATCACATAGGGGACACAAAAGTCCCTTATGTGATGATTTTTTGGTGACAGGTTCTCTTTAATGAGACATGCGGGGTCTAAAAGACCCCACATGTCTCCCCTGAATGTAATGCAGTGTACGTTGCACCGCATTACATTCTTTCCAGGAATCTATGAATGGGGACATGAAAGTCACGTCAAACGGGGAGGGGAGCGGACATGTTCGCTCTCCTCCCTCCCCTCTAAATGCCAGCGCACACAGAGCCAGTCCCGGGCTTGCAGATGGACAAGTGGAGCCCGGGAGACTAGGTGGGGGGGGGGGAGTTCACACGTGGGGGGCTAGGTTGGCACTGTAGACCGTGTGGAAGCAATTGAATGTTTCCACCTAACATGTGAGCCCTGCTGCTCACATGTCCACCTGCTGGTGGACAACAGAACTACCACCTCCCACTCTGGGAAGCACAGTGCCACCAGCAAGTGATCCAGGTCCTGACAGGTGTGTGTGTGTACATATACCCGCACACACAGGGAAACCAAAATTCATCCAAACACCAGCAAACTGGAAACAAAGCAAATGCCAAGATACAAGTGAACCATAACAATATAATGAAAATGCTTAACTAGCAACCTAGTAACAGAAACCCTAACAAACAAACTATATACAATATTTACACCAGTAGGGAACATGGATAAACAGGGTAATACCAGAGAAGCAAGGAAGGGAGGGGGGGACCTAGAAAAAAAGAAGCAGATATAAGGCAGTAGGGTGCAGAGTACAAGATGCAGGACACTAGCAAGATCAGAAGCAAGATAAATGGCAAGCAGTATCTCCTGGCAAAGCTAAACACTGAAGGGAAGTAGTAGAGGGAGGAGTAAATACCTTCTCAGCAGCCAGCATCAGACTGATTACTGGAAACTGCTGGGAGACACCTGCTGGTGGACACCAGTACTACCACCTCCCACTCTGGGAAGCGCAGTGCCACCAGCAAGTGATCCATTTCTTGACAGGACACATTCAGCACACAGGCTGGTATGGACAGTTCAAACTGGCATGGAAAGCAGGCGTTTAAAGGGGCGTTTTTAACGCTCCTCAAAACGCCTATGCAAATGAGACTATGGGCAGCACACAGTGCTGTTCACATTATCAAAACATGAAGAGTTAAGGTCGCGTTGCTTCAAAACTGAAGCCTCATGTCATGGCAAGTGTGAAGCTTTTCAATACCTCCTATTCAAATCTATGGTGACGCCCCACAGACGCCCTGGCAGGAGTTTGAAGGGCATTTGCACTGCAGTTGTAATAACATTACAGTTTATTATAGGTGTTTGTGGTGCGGTTTAAATGCTTGTAAGACGCTTATTAAAAATGCTGCAAAACTGCACATAGGGTGTTTGGGGAGCATTTTTAAACGCCTGTAAAAAAAGCCAGTCTAATGCCCATACTAAAGCTCATCAATGCCTGTCTATTGCCTATACTAAAGCTTTAGGTGCATTTGGTAGGAGTCAGAAATGTAGTCAAGTGTGAACAAACCCTAAAAGGTGAACCTGAAGAACATCACTTACTTGCGTCTCAGGTGGGCCGGAAGTTTCACGTCATTTTGCATTCTGGAAGATAAAATTAAACAAAAAAGCAAAGATTAAACCAAATTATAGTCAACACAGAAAGATATGTTGCAAGATTGACAAATATAGATTGACTAAAAAAAAAACACTTCTTTGCAAAATAATGCGTCTATGTTCATATAGCCGTGCTGTGTTCTATGGCTCTACAGCAGGGGTCTCCAGACTTTCTAAACAAAGGGTCAGTTTTCAGACTTCAGGTGGGGCGAACTTTGACTATTGGGAGTAGAAAAGGTTGTGACATAAGTGGGAATAGACAATGCCTCATCTTTGGTGTCAGTGGGAGGTTATTGTGACCCATCATTATGGTCATTGGACCCCATTGTTGGTATCATTGGGAGAAATAGTGCCCCATCGTTGATGTCATTGAGAGGAATTGTGCCCCATCGTTGATGTCAGTGGGAGGAATTGTGTCCTATCATTGGTGTCATTGGGAGGTTATTGTGACCCATCATTATGATCGTTGGACCCCACTGTTGATGTCATTGGGAGGAATTGCGCCCCATCGTTGATGTCATTGGGAGGAATTGCGCCCCATCGTTGATGTCATTGGGAGGAATTGCGCCCCATCGTTGATGTCAGTGGGAGGAATAGTGTCCCATCGTTGATGTCAGTGGGAGGAATAGTGTCCCATCGTTGATGTCATTGGGAGGAATTGTGCCCCATCGTTGATGTCATTGGGAGGAATTGTGCCCCATCGTTGATGTCATTGGGGGGAATAGTGCCCCATCGTTGATGTCATTGGGGGGAATTGTGCCCCATCGTTGATGTCATTGGGGGGAATTGTGCCCCATCGTTGATGTCATTGGGAGGAATTGTGCCCCATCGTTGATGTCATTGGGAGGAATTGTGCCCCATCGTTGATGTCATTGGGAGGAATTGTGCCACATCGTTGATGTCATTGGGAGGAATTGTGTCCCATTGTTGATGTCATTGGTGGGAATAGTGCCCCATCGTTGATGTCATTGGGAGGAATTGTGTCCCATCGTTGATGTCATTGGTGGGAATAGTGCCCCATCGTTGATGCCATTGGTGGGAATAGTGCCCCATCGTTGATGCCATTGGTAGGAATAGTGCCCCATCGTTGATGCCATTGGTGGGAATAGTGCCCCATCGTTGATGCCATTGGTGGGAATAGTGCCCCATCGTTGATGCCATTGGTGGGAATAGTGCCCCATCGTTGATGCCATTGAGAGGAATAGTGTCCCATCGTTGATGTCATTGAGAGGAATTGTGTCCCATCGTTGATGTCATTGGGAGGATTAGTGCCCCATCACTGTTTCCATTGGGAGGATTAGTGCCCCATCACTGTTGCCATTGGGCCCGATCATTGTTGTAATTGGGACTTCTTGTGCCCTTTCATTGGTATCAGTAGGGGGAATTATGTCCCATTGTTGGTATCAGTGGATGAAATAGTACCCCAAGGGCCAGATAAAAGCAAGCAAAGGGCCGCATCCGGCCCCTGGGCCACAGTTTGAAGACCACAGCTCTACCGCATCAACAACAGTCTCAAACCTTTTAAGAAGCTGCAATCCTGCAACCTTGGTGCCGCCCATCCACATCATGCATTTGAACAGTGTTACCCTTTCTGCTCCAGTTTCAAGCTAATTTTGCTCACAGCCCTGATGAAGGGGACACAGAATACCAAAACGCGTTGGAACTTCTGCAACCCTTGGGAAATATTCTATATTTCCTGGTGAAGTATGTTTGGACACAGACATTTACCCTACAAGGAAGGACATTGACCCAACACACAAACCTCATGGTTCTTCCCACAAAATACGTATAGGCCGCAATGGTATACTGGGCAATAATTGACATAATCAGAAGAACATTTAAAAAATTGTTTTATAGTAACTTTATTGGCCCTAGTATTTCAGTGTTTCTCTTCTCCCTCACTCAGCTGATGTAGAGGGTCAGGGGGAGTGTCAAACATGGATGTTGTGCAGAAAACCAACATCCTCCTTATCAACTGATGGGATTCCGGTGGCTAGAAGGTCGGAATGGTGCACAATGAAAACTCGTGGCTTTGTGTAACTAAAAAGGCAGGCTTCATCCACCTCTGGATTGTACACAATTTTTGGGCAGTTTTTAGGCATTTGGCCAAGGCACCCCTGAAGAAACCTCAAGGCACCCTGGTTGAGAAAGGCTGGTCTACTGGTTGTGGCTTTACTGTCAGGAAAAAGGCATATATGGAGTTTTGTACTTACAAGTAGGGTACTTCCTTTTCTTACATTGGTATATCCCTGATATTTCAGGTAAAAGGGTATTTTTAGTAAGTTTTTGAACCTTTTATAGTTTACTCAAGGCAATCTTGCTTTTAATATTGAATACTTTGCAAAAAACACACTTTGACTTGGGCTGTAGCACAGGGGCCAATTTAATGTCCTCTAACATTACGTGTTCTTCATTAATATGCTTTCTGCTTATATTGAGCAATTCATTCAATATTAGTTTGACTTACTTTGATTTCTAATCAGTTGTTTTTATCTTTCTCAAGGAGGTGTAAGTACAGGGGCGGACTGACCATTTGGGAACTCGGGCACTGCCCGAGGGCCCGGGGTCAGAAGGGGGCCCCATGAGCTGCCCCTGGTATCTTTTCATAGGCTTTTTTTGGGTGTGGGCAAGGACACAGGGGCCCCATGGTCCCCTATTGCCCGGGGGCCCCATGAGTTGTCAGTCCGCCCCTGTGTAAGTATATCATTAAAATATTGCTAATAAAGTCAGATGAATATCCTTTTTATTACATTTTTTTTCTTTTAGAATGTCAAGTTTGTATTACATAGTCCTCTCTTCTACTGCAGTACTTTCATATCCTCCAAAACTGACTTACTTGTAGGAAGGGCCGGGACAAGGGGTGTGGGCAGGAGGGGCAGCAGCCGCCCTGGGGACAGTGGAGGTTGCGCTAGAAGGGATGATTTGGGGGGGGGGGGGGGATTTGTACTAGGAAGTTGTATTTCTAGGAAGGGGGGGGGTTGTTTTTTGTGTGGGGGGGGGAGATTTGTGCTAGTAGGGATGATTGGGGGGATTTGTGCTAGGGGGAAGGATAGGAGCTAGGACAATGCTCAGATGGGAAATTTGAGTGGTAGAGAATTTGTACTAGGAGGGTGAATTTGGGGAGGGAGAGGATTTGAGATTGGAAGGGGGGTTTTTTTTTGGGGAGAATTTTGATTTGCAATGAGAATTAATGCTTTGGGGGGGGGGGGTAACTAAAAATTAGTGCTAATTTTTTTTTTTTTTGGGGGGGGGGGTGCCATTTGGCATCCTTGCCGTGAGTGCTAGCTGACCTTGTTCCGACACTGCTTGTAAGGGGCTCAGGGCTTAAGCTGGCCATAGATGGATTGAACCTCAGCCAGTTCAGTAGGGACCGGCCAAGAATCGATCCATCTATGGCAGAGGTGTCAAACTGGCGGCCCTCCAGCTGTTGCAGAACTACAAATCCCATGAGGCATTGCAAGGCTGACAGTTACAAACATGATTCCCACAGGCAGAGGCATGATGGGACTTGTAGTTCCGCAACAGCTGGAGGGCCGCCAGGTTGACACCCCTGATCTACGGCAAGGCTGCTTGTACTGAAGTTGATCCATCAATGGGATTCAGTACAACCAGCCTGTCGGATTATGTTCATCCAGTCACTTGGCAGCTATAGCGCCCCACCGGCAGAACACATTAACGCTGCAGGAATGATTTCCCCAACAACACTGATTGTGTTGGGGGAATCAAGCAATTTCCTCCCCCCCCCCCCATTGGTGGATGGAAAGGAAATTGCATAATCCATGGAATGCTTTTAAATTGTGCTTTGAACTCAATGTTGATGGCACAAGGGCATATTAGGAAATACATTTGGCAATCAGTAGAACAATCAGTAGAACAATTAATAAACGTTTCATAGTAACCTTACAGACCTGTATGTCATGACAGAACTTGCCCCGCCTGATGCATTTACTTTTCTTATATATTAAAGCGAAACTACACTCTCCTCCAATCCCGCGATGCGCTGTCCCAGAGCTCCTCGCATTAGGAAGCATTATTAAACCCAAAAGCAAACATTTATTATATTGCAGCTTACCAATTCTAAGATGTGATGGCTGCATTAGTTGTTTTTTTTTAGGCTTTTATTCTATTTTTTTATCTGGCGTTCCAGCCAGTAAGTCTGTTGTTTTTCAAAAGAACAAGCTCTCTTGCAGTTACAGGGATGCGACAAACCATTCAACACTGACAGAGGTGCTTAAAAATATCAGCTTTTATTTATGTAAAAAAAAAAAAAAAAAACAAAGAAAAAAAAAATACTTCTCCAAAGCATCTGATAAAACTGAGTTTAGGACAAGGAGTAATGCAGTGCCTGCTGTGCAGAGTGGGCATGGCTACATAGGGCAGAATATTAGGCATGGTTTACAGGAATGGTCTATGCACGGTATACACTGCACATTTTTGCGGCTATCCTTGTACTACTACCTGGCTACTTAGTAACCAGCAACTGTTGAAACAACAAACATTTTGGTCAGGTGTATGCAACATATAACATGGCATGAAAATTGCAGAGTGCCTGGACATACATATATGTATACCTTCTCCAACCAGAAAATGAGCCGAAATCCTTGAGCAAATTAAAGTGTTACTAAACCTAGAACTCTGCATTCCCTATAGCCGGTCTCCCCGGACCCCGCATTCACTATATTTGGTCTCCCCGGACCCCGCATTCACTATATTTGGTCTCCCTGGACCCAGCATTCACTATAGCCGGTCTCCCCGGACCCCGCATTCACTATAGCCGGTCTCCCCGGACCCCGCATTCACTATAGCCGGTCTCCCCGGACCCCGCATTCACTATATCTGGTCTCCCAGGACCCCGCATTCACTATAGCCGGTCTCCCCCGGGCCCCGCATTCCCTAGAGCCGGTCTCCCCGGGCCCCGCATTCCCTAGAGCCGGTCTCCCCGGGCCCCGCATTCCCTAGAGCCGGTCTCCCCGGGCCCCGCATTCCCTAGAGCCGGTCTCCCCGGGCCCCGCATTCCCTAGAGCCGGTCTCCCCGGGCCCCGCATTCCCTAGAGCCGGTCTCCCCGGGCCCCGCATTCCCTAGAGCCGGTCTCCTCGGGCCCCGGATTCCCTAGAGCCGGTCTCCCCGGGCCCCGCATTCCCTAGAGCCGGTCTCCCCGGGCCCCGCATTCCCTAGAGCCGGTCTCCCCGGGCCCCGCATTCCCTAGAGCCGGTCTCCCCGGGCCCCGCATTCCCTAGAGCTGGTCTCTCCCGGACCCCGCATTCCCTAGAGCCGGTCTCCCCGGACCCCGCATTCCCTAGAGCCGGTCTCCCCGGGCCCCGCATTCCCTAGAGCCGGTCTCCCGGGGCCCCGCATTCCCTAGAGCCGGTCTCCCCGGACCCCGCATTCCCTAGAGCCGGTCTCCCCGGACCCCGCATTCCCTAGAGCCGGTCTCCCCGGACCCCGCATTCCCTATAGAACCGACAAATTTTTTCTTTTTCGCTATGGCTGCTTTTGTGTCCCAGTAATAACCAACCTCACTTCCCTATCCTGGTGTCACAAAGACAGGAAGTGAGGATCTCATGAAAGGAATCACAAAAAGAAATAAAAAGCTGAAAGAAAGTAGATAGATATGGATGAGGTTAGGCTTTTAAAGAGGAGCTCCGGTCAGTAAAATAAATAAAAATTAGCAGGTACAAATCCTGTAGCTGCCAACTTTCATTACACACTTACTAGCCCAGGGATCCAGCACTGTCATCACCTGGGCTGGTTCTTCGCCAGTCTTCAGGTCCCCGGCATGACCATCTTCTTTAACCACTTCTCATCCAGCCCATGTACATAAACAGCCAGACAGGAGCAGTGCAGGAACGGGTGGCCGTTTATAAACGGCCTCCGCATTCACTGCCTGGGAGTATGCGGTACCGCGATCCGGTCCCGCTGTGTCCGGAGGAGACAGAGGAACACCGATCGCTGTACGGGACCTCTGTGTGAAGTCCCGATCATGTGATCACTGATTAGTAAACTTTCTGACATCATTGCTTACTACGTGTGAAATCTGTGAATGATCACAGAGGTCACATGGTACAGGGCTATTCACAACAGCCTTGTACCATGTGACAAGCTGTGACCAATCACAGCATTTCTCAATGGCTGCAAGAATGCAGCCAGAGAGAAGGAGAAATGATTGCTTTTACAGCCTTTATGGGTGTAAAAGCAATCGGTGTACGTAACAAAAAAAAAAAATTCTTCATCACCCCCCACAAGTCGTACAGTGTCACTATGACACTGTACTTCTAGGGTGACAATATGTTAAAAAAAAAAAGAAAAACAAATAATAATATAAAAAAATAAAATAAAAATGTCAAAACATTTTTTGAAAAACTATAATTTTTGGTTATAAACTAATTTGGGTTTTCTTTTTTTTTTTTTTTTTTACTAAAAAAGATAGCTGAATACATTTTGGCCAAGGTTTATGATGAAATATTATTTGCAAAATTTTATAAGAAAAAACAAATTTTTCTTCAAAATGTTTGGAGTTTTTCATTTACATAGCAAAAAAAATAAAAATCCCAGTGGTGAATAAAAATACCACCAAAATAAAGTTTTATCTGTCTCAAAAGAATGCAAAAAAATTCATATGGGTACAGTGTTTCATTCAAAGTGTGATAGCGCTGAAAGCTGAAAATTGGCCTGGGCAGGAAGGGGGGAAGCGTCCAGACTGCAAGGGGGGGGAAAGCGTCCGGACTGCAAGGGGGGGAAAGCGTCCGGACTGCAAGGGGGGGAAAGCGTCCGGACTGCAAGGGGGGGAAAGCGTCCGGACTGCAAGGGGGGGGAAAGCGTCCGGACTGCAAGGGGGGGAAAGCGTCCAGACTGGAAGGGGGGGGAAAGCGTCCGGACTGGAAGGGGGAGAAAGTGTCCGGACTGGAAGTGGTTAAGGGAAGCCTCCTATGACTTCCTGCCGCTCCACAGCCAGCTCCTCACTGTGCAAATAGCACCCCACTTTCTGATTGGACCTGCAGCCTCCCGTGACATGGGACGTGTCCTAGAAGGTTTCAAGTGAAGAGGGGGGAGTGTCCAAAGACGTGCACAGCACAGCTTGGTCCATCCCCCAGTTACCTCCTTACAGGATTTGATTGACAGCAGCAGGAGCCAATGGCAAAGACTGTAAAACCATAACGAGGGGAGATGAGACTTGTCACCAGGCAGTGCGCTGGATCGATAAAGGACTCAAGTGTTGGGGGAATATAAGAGGCAGTGCAAAGCTTCTCACCGGGATGCATTAGAGTAAAAAAAAAAAAAAAACTGTTGTGTTTAGAACCACTTTAAATGTATTTTTGTTATGAAAACAGCATTAAGTATCCCATTATCAGCTTCCTGCATCCCACTGTACAGCAGAGCTCAGACTGACGGAGGGAGAAACAGCATAAGCAGCCAATCAGTTGTTCTGCAGTGCAAGGAACATGCTGGTAGAAGAAGAGAGCAGAGTGACAGCGAGATGAGCTCATCAGTCTGTTGATTCTACAATCTCTGTCCAATCATAGGCTGGGGGGAGGTCCAAGAACTGTAAGTGTTACTTAATTGTAGCAGAGACTAATCATGTGTCCTGACTCTAGGGCTGTGCTCTACGGCAGAACTGTGTAAATCTCAAGACTGGATGGCCATTAATACAAACTTCTTTGCCAGATAAAACAGCTCCAATACAAACAAGTCATCTGTGCATTTAGCCATTTGCCTGGAGCTCAGCACCAGGGGCGTCCCTAGGGTTGGCGTCACCCAGTGTGATGACACTGGGTGACACCCCCTCCGACGATCCCCGCAGAATGGATCGGATCTGCGGATTGAGCATAATGGATCAGAGTCTGATCCATTATGCTCCCCAATCCATAGATCCGATCCATCCTGCGGGGATCGTCGGTATGCAACCTATACGGGGTGACACCGGACCCACTCCATGAAAAGGGTAAGTTGCAAAGCATGCCGAAGATCCCTGCAGGATGGATCGGATCTGTGGATTGGGGAGCATAATGGATCGGAGTCTGATCCAGTATGCTCCCCAATCCGCAGATCCGATCCATCCTGCAGGGATCATCGGCATGCTTTACAACTTACCTTTTCATGGAGGGGGTTCCGGTGTCACCCCATGCGGTAGGTGTCACCCGGTGCAGCGCGCACCCCCCACACCTGCCTAGGGATGCCCCTGCTCAGCACAAAGGTCTTTACATAGAACCGGATAGAAACAAGAGATGAAAACACTCACCTGACGTTAACCATGTCGCCCGGGGTCCCCACAAAGCCCCCTGTAAAACCTGAAAGAGAGAGAGAAAAAAAAAAAAATGTCAAGTCAAGGAGACTCCAGTCCCTCTTATCATTTTGAAGCAAGACAGCTGCCAACAGCGACCTCCAATCAACAGCCCTGACAAGTCCCAGGGATAGGAAATCCGGCAGGAGGTCCCCACTAATCAGGAGGTCGCAGGGAAGAGGCTGCAGCCCAGGCGGGTTCATGGCGGAGGAACGGCTACATCCCTGTGAGAATATATTTAGTGATTACCGACAAGAAGCAGCTGTATACTGACCGTGTATATACTACATGTAGTACTGAGCGATGCCGGACGCCACTCATGTCTGCATATGGCCGTACATACAATGTAACCCCCCCCCCCTCCGGGTGTCCTGTACATACAATGTAACCCTCTCCTCCGGGTGTCCTGTACATACAATATAACCCTCTCCCCCCCAGGTGTGTCCTGTACATACTATGTAACCCTCTCCCCCCCCCCCCGGGTGTCCTGTACATACAATTTAATCCTTTCCCCCCAGGTGTCCTGTACATACAATGTAACCCCCCGGGTGTCCTGTACATACAATGCAACCCCCCGGGTGTCCTGTACATACAATGCAACCCCCCTGGGTGCCCTGTACATACAATGTAAACCTCTACCCCGGGGTGTCCTGTACATACAGTGTAACCCCCCCCCGGGTGTCCTGTACATGCAATGTAACCCTCTCCCCCCCGGGTGTCCTGTACATGCAATGTAACCCTTTCCCCCCCGGGTGTCCTGTACATGCAATGTAACCCTCTCCCCCCGGGTGTCCTGTACATACAATGTAACCCCCCTGGGTGTCCTGTGCATACAATGTAAACCTCTACCCCCGGGTGTCCTGTAGATACAATGTAAACCTCTACCCCGGGTGTCCTGTAGATACAATGTAAACCTCTACCCCCGGGTGTCCTGTACATACAATGTAACCCCCTGGGTGTCCTGTACATACAATGTAAACCTCTACCCCCGGGTGTCCTGTAGATACAATGTAAACCTCTACCCCCGGGTGTCCTGTACATACAATGTAAACCTCTACCCCGGGTGTCCTGTACATACAATGTAAACCTCTACCCCCGGGTGTCCTGTACATACAATGTAACCCCCCCCCCCCCCCCCCCCGAGTGTCCTGTACATACCATGTAACCCCCCTGAGTGTCCTGTACATACAATGTAACCCCCCTTAGTGTCCTGTACATACAATGTAACCCCCCTTAGTGTCCTGTACATACAATGTAAACCTCTACCCCCGGTGTCCTGTACATACAATATAACCACCCGGGTGTCCTTGCATACAATGTAACCACCCGGGTGTCCTTGCATACAATGTAACCACCTGGGTGTCCTTGCATACAATGTAACCACCCGGGTGTCCTTGCATACAATGTAACCACCTGGGTGTCCTTGCATACAATGTAACCACCTGGGTGTCCTTGCATACAAGAATATTTGAAGAGCCTGCTGGCTCAGTTTAGGCTGCTGACAATAGACAAGACTATCCTCCAGTGGGTACCCCAGTAGGTTACCGGAACCAAACATGCACAGACAGAAGGCGCGACAGACCAACAGATACAAGTCAAAATTAAATTTATTAGCTTGTACTTTAAATAAATAATTCAACACATTTTGGGAGTCAGAAAAAAATCCACCCTTCATCAGGGCTCAAAATAGAGCTTTCCTGTGTGAATGTGTGTGGGGAAGAGAATTGCTCCATCAGGGGAGTTACTGGCCTGCAGTATCTGTGAGCAATGGAGATATTATCCCCCAACTGCACAACCAAGGGCGCCGCTCAGGGCTATACACATGCTGTAGTAAAAATGAACTATCCCATTCAAGTGAATGTGGCCATGCCGAAATGCAGGGCATATAGTTTGGCCTATTCAGGGTTAAAACGAGCAGTGATGATATATCTTCCCGATCGCCCTATAACAAGCAATCCGCCACAGATCGCTGAAAGGAGGAGCAGAAACAAGGTCTAATAACCCGTTAATTACTTCCTCAAGCACCTACACTTCACTGGTGATGCAGGTGAATTTTTCTGCGTCAGCTACAGTTTCGGGATCTGCCTGCCGACTGTCATTACCAGTATAATCTTAGGTGTGTGATCTCTCATAGTCGCTGTAGGATTTGGGCTCGGGGGGGTTGGGTGGGGGGGTCACTGTGGTAACGGATTAGTCCAGATATTAAACTTTCTAATCCTTTGCTGTATACATCAGTGATCGTCTTAGCCCTCCAGTCCATTAAGCTGGCTGCAGATTTTATTCAGCAGCTGGGGGATAATAAAATTATCCAAAATGGCAAGGAATATTTCTGCTGCTTGACATACACATGTATGCACACTTGTGTCACATTGCCCAGGTCAGGGAAACAAAGGGTTATAGGGTGATCAATTCTAGCCCAGCCAATAGGCTTGCTCAGGCAAAGTCAGGTTTCAATGATGGGTGCACCTAGGCTACTCTACCGTTTAGCCAGTTTTGTGATCACCTGACAGTACAGTACAGTCAGGTAATGGACCACCACTGCAGCTATAACAGAACCCAACTGTCTGGCCAATCCCGCTCTTCCTGATCAGTACTGTTGTTTCTTCCCAAGCTATTAGATTTTTTTTTTTTTCCAATAAAAAAAGCACGTCTCTGACATCCCTTTAGATGAGACAGCTGAAGTCTGCAACAGACAGTGAACAGCATGCATGTCTAAAGGGATGCCAAGGATGTGTTCTTTCATATAATACTCTTGAACAAAGATTTAAGGCAGGGTGCTACAAGAGGACCCAATTGTCTGGCCAATACTAAAGAGGCCCTCCCTCCCTGCTCTCCCCTGTGCACATATTCCCTATTAACACTGTAGCAGTGCCCGATTGACTGTCAGGGCTGCCTTTCCAACTCCAGATCTGCATGCTGGACATTACACAGTACCAAAGATTACAGACTTCTAATATTAGGACCGATGTGGGTATTTACACTAGCTGCCTTTTTAAAAGCAGAAGTCTACCCTTACCTTTTTTTTTTTTTATATCCACCATACCTGCATAACCTTTTTTGCTGTACTGAAACCAATTACTCTTAATTCCCTGCAATCGTGCATCTCCACAATGTAACCCTTAGAAGCTGCTGCAGCTAACTTGGGCCTGCCTTCAATCATCATCAATCCCCGCTCTTCCTGATCAGTACTGTCCTTGCTTCCCAAGCTATTAGCTTTCTTTGCCAACAATCAGCAATATATGAAAAAGCACATCTCTGGCATCCCTTTAGATGGGACAGCTGAAGTCTGCAACAGACAGTGGTCAGCAAGGAAGAGCATGCATGTCTAAAGGGATGCCAAGGATGTGTTCTTTCATATAGTGCTTTTGAAAGAAGATTTAGGGCAGGATGTGATGTTGACAGGAGCCAGCTGGATGCTCTTACCATCCTCCCAGCAAAGACCAACAAAACAGACCAAGTGTTGTCACTGGTTCTCAAAATAGGTATTGAAAACAAAAAGGACTTGATTGAAGGGGGGGGGACTAACCCAAGCCATAGATGATGCAGATTTCTTACCTGCAGCTACGGGTTGCATGAGGGGGGGAAAAAAAAAAAAAAAAAAAAAAAAAAAAAAAAAAAAATCGCTTGATTTCCCCCATTCACACAGTCAATGCTGATGGGGCGAATCTCTTCTGCAGTGCTATTGTGTTCTGCCGGCTGGGAGCCTTCCCTGCCGGCAGATTACGATTACGGTTTTCAGCTATAGCTGCCGACAGTAATCACATGCAAAAAAAAAAAAAAATGACAGGCTGGTTGTACTAAACTCAAAGCGATGGATTGACTTCAGTACAACCAACCTGCCCACGGACTGATCAAATCTCTCGGCCAGCCAGTCCCTGATGAACCAGACGATGGTGGGAATAAAAAGTTTCAAAAGGTAAAGCACTATGTCCTCTATTTCTTCCTGCATGCGGAGTCACACAAGGAGAGGATAATTAGGAGGTCTGGGATAAGAAAAGGAGTGTGTAATCCCTGAGGGGATAATCAGCCACCGGAGGATACATCCATTACTCCTAAAGGAAGGATCTCCCTATTTCACCAGCAAAAGTATATGTCCAGCAGGTTCCAGGGAAAGTGAACCGAAAGCGTGTATAGCCTAATTGCAGGCATCAAAGGAGGTGAGCGCACATCTTCACTATTTGAAGGATTCACAAAAGTCACTAATTGGAGAACAACAAGCACCAAGTCACTATATATAAACAATTGTTTATTCAATGGGACTATTATTTTGATGATATTTGGATTCATACTAATCACTACTAATTATTTATGAGCATTTGGTTATTTTTATTTATGGGGGATCATTTAAATGCGTTTTAGTTGAGGGTTATTAGTTGGTTTACTACTTTTTTTATTATATTAAATGAGGGTATTATGAATATAAATGAAATTGAGGGTATTCGTAAGTACATCATGTCACTAATAGATGATTTATGAGCACTTGGTAAAATTTTTTTTTAGAGGAGTATTTCATGTGGAATTATTTTGATATTTATTTGGAGGAGATTGATTAGTAGAAACTATCTATTTAAATATTTTTTTGGTATTTATACACTTTTATTAGTAATTTGTATCATAATTTGAATTAATTTAATGGTAATAATTGAATTATTATTTATTGAGAAGTATTTAGGAGCGCAACATATATTTGTAGATATTTCCAACACAGTTGTAGTTATGTGTTTCATGCTTGCGATCCTCTAGTAATTATCACACCTGTGGCTCGCAAGTTACTCTGATTCATCTATACCAGAAGACATGTCCAACCCTTCTGTATAGTGGATGGAGGGATCAGATTTTTTTTTTTCCTGTTTAGCCTGCAGCCTGAATGAAGAAAAAGAACAAAATCTATTGTTGTATGGCCAGCCTTATGCAGGCCATACATGGTTTGAATTCCAAATGATTTTTTCACCCGAAAATCAAAATGTCATTTGTTCTGTATTCTGATGAAATCGGTCGTTTTTCACGAATTTTCCAGCATGCCCAATAAACGAAATGGGGAGGAACCACGAAAATCGGCTGATGCCATTGCCCCACTAACAGAGCGAAAATCGGACGATTATTCTCAAGTTCTATTCTCGTACAAAAAATCGCTCGGAATTCGAACCATGTATGGCTAAATGCAGATGGAACGTTAAGGTGAAGGAGGCTAGGGACAGGCACCTGGTACACGTCTGAGGTGCCTGCCAACCCCCCCCCCCCCCCCCCAATACCGAGCAGGAAAAGTTATGCCGAGTCACAATTACATTGGCAGCTTCTCGATTTTGCAGAACTGAACTTTGGACAAGCTCTTTCTTCGCTCGTTCTTACCGCCAAAGGCTCCCAGCAGCACCTTCTGGTAGAAGGGGAGGGGGACTTTGCTGTCCTGGGACAGGTGGTCTCTCACAGTCTCGTAGATGGCAAAGCGGGTCAAGGAGTATGTGATCTGGGGAACAAAAGGGCGATGTGAGAAAACATTGACAAAAGATTGCATGACAACCTGCACAGCCAAGATGACATAACGTAGCGGTTAGAACAGCAGGGGGGGGTTCAAACTTAAGCCAGCTATAGAGGTTTGGAGTCTTGGCTGGTTCAGCAGGGACCCGGACGAGATTTAAACCACATATGGGCAGGCTGATTGTACCAGTCGATCCATCGATCGACTTGGGTAGGTACAACCAGCACATCAAATTTTCACATGTGATATTGCCAGCGGCTGCTGCCGCTAGCATTAATCACTGTGTTCTCCCGGCAGGGACGGCTCACCGCAACTTCCCCCTGCTGGGAGAATAGCTCTGCAGGAGGGTTTCCCCCCCCTCAACACCGATGAGAGATTTTCTTTTCTGAAACCTGTGGTTGCAGAAAAGAAAATCGCATCACTTATTGCTTGCCTTAGGCCTTATTCACACGGGTGCTGAGAATTGTAGTGTGAATGGGCTATGCGTTTATGCCGCTTGAGCTACCTGGTACTATGTGCTTGAGGACCATTCAAGTCTATGGAGATGCAGCATCTGCACGGACATAACCGTTTGTCCCAATCTGATCCCAATAATTATCACATTTATTTTTTTATTTATTTTAGGTAATTGTATAGCGCCGTCAATTTTACATATATATTGTACATTCACATCAGTCCCTAACCCTCAAGGGGCGTACAATCTAAGGTCCCTAACTCACATTCATACATACACATACTAGGGCAAATTTAGACAGGAGACAATTCACCTACCAGCACGTCTTTGGAGTGTGGGAGGAAACCCACGCAGGTACAGGGAGAACATGCAAACTCCAGACAGGTGGTGCCGTGGTTGGGATTCAAACCAACAACCCTAGTATTGCCAGGCGGGAGTGCTAACCATTTAGCCACTGTGCTGCCCTACATTAACAGCTCACAGTACATTAGTATGATGCTCCTTACACTTGCGGTCATTAGGAAGAATTCCCACCTTATAGAAAGCTAAAAAGATCTTTGTTGTCAGTGGGAATGTATCCGAGAGGTAGAAATTGCTCAAGGAACCCCTAGCAACCTATGGTGGGACCTTGGGTTCTCCATAGTTGAGAAACCCTGCACTAAGCTCAGGGAAAATTCCCTTGCAATGTGAACAGCCTATCTGCCTTTTGTCCATTCAGCCAGGAGAGCATTTGTGAGGTCTGATGTTGGATGAGAAGACCCGGCTGCCAATCCTGCTCCTGAAAAGGTGTTGAGTTGGGTTGAGGTCAGGACTCCGTGAAGGCCACTTGAGGTCCTCCACACCAAACTGGTCAAACCATGTCTTTATGGAGCTGGCTTTGTACACAAGGGTAAAGTCATGCTGGGACAGAGGAGAGTCTTCTCCAAACGGTTTACACAAGGATGGAAGAACAGAACTATCTACGGTGTCTTTCTATATCATAGTAATCAATGGAGACACCTGAACTCAATCATCTGGATGGATGTCCTCATACGACGTTTGGCCATACAGCTAGCTATGATGGTCAGATGTCCACAAACGTTAGACTGTATCCTGTCATTTTACCTCCTCTACTCTGCAGAACACCATGGGTCTAGGTTAGAAGGATAGCAGCTGGTAATGGAAATAGATCACCAGAGAGAAGCTCACATGTGTAATGACATGTATTTACGGCTTGGTGTCCCAAGGGAAGGCAGAGTGCAGATGGAGAGGGAGATGTAGGAATTCTGGAGAAGACTAATTAATTAACGCGGCAATACTGCACAGACACTACGCAGTCCTATACATTTATGGAGGCGGGTGCTGTGATGCTGCGACACTCGAGGCAGATCGGAGGGGTTCCCAATTATGTGGCATGGTGATTGGCTGCACAGGGATGACGTCATCTTGAGCCCGTCCTACCAGCTCCCAAACACGAGCGGTTGACAGTGAGCTGTTGGTGATGGCTCCGTTTGGGGCATATCGATTGAGCATGGCCCTAGAACACAACATATATGATACCATAAGGCCGTAAGGCAGGGGTGTCAAACTGGTGGCCCTCCAGATGTTGCCAAACGACAAGTCCCATGAGGTATTGCAAAGCTGACAGTTACAAGCATGCCTCCCAAAGACAGAAGCATGATGGGACTTGTAGTTTCGCAACAGCTGGAGGGCCACCAGTTTGACACCCGTGCTGTAAGGGATTAATACACTCTCTGTAATACAACATTGGCGTTGTCGGTGACCTGATACTACACATGCTCAGACCTCTCAGACCTGCTCTCATATGCCTGTCTGAGGGCGCAGCATTTGTTGCGGCACGTTGTGTCAGTCGGCCTGTTCATTTTAAAAAGGGATGTCAATGCACAGAAAATTAGCTCCTGTGCGATTTTTGTCATAAAAACGCATGTGAATCTCTGCACTTGTCTCTTCCTAATGTGGGTGCATTGCAGCAGTTGAAATCAGGTTTGCCAAATTTTGTGTGGTCGGCACAGGCGGACAGGATCAGAACCAGGAATTAAGGCAGGGAGGTCTCACTTTTTGGGAATAGCAATGATATAAGAAGCCTGGGGATGACATCTTTAGATAAAATAGCACTTTTAGGTGGACCGTTAACCACTTGTCCTCCAGAGGATTTACCGCCCCCCCCCCCCCCCCCCCCCCCCCCCCTGACCAGGCCATTTTTTGCAATTCAACACTGCGTTACTTTAACGGTCAATTGCACGCTCATGCAACGCTGCACCCAAATGAAATTTACATCCCTTTTTCCCACGAAAAGAGCTTTCTTTTGGAGGTATTTGATTGCCTGTGCGGTTTTTATTCTTTGCGCTATAAACAAAAAAAGACAGACAATTTTGAAAAAAAACAAACAAACAATATTTTTGACTTTTTACTATTAAACATGTCCAGTAAAAAAATGTTAAAAATCTAATTTCATCATAAATTTAGGCCAAAAATGTATTCTGTTCCATGTCTTTGCTAAAAAAAAAAAAATCCCAAATACGTGTAAATTAATTGGTTTACATGAAAGTTATAGAGTCTACAAATGGTGGTATAGATACTGGAATTTTTTTTTTTTACTAATAATGGCGGCGATTAGCGACTTATAGCATTCTGACAACGGGGGAAACTGACCGACATCCCCAGTGACACCAATACAGTGATCAGTGCTAATAAAAAGCATTGACACTGTACTAATGGTACTGGGCAGGAAGAGATTAACATGTGGGGCGATCAAAGGGTTAACTGTGAGCTGTGTGTGTTTTACATTGTAAGCATGCTGTGTTGTATGGCTCTGCTATGCAGAGCCATACAAAGCAGCATGCTGCAGCTGAGCGGGTAGAGACCTGTATTGTTTACATACAGACCTCTCCACCATCAGTGATGCTTGGTGATCGCTGGGTTCTGGGGGGGAATCACCGGCCGGGACCAGGTGATCGACAGCCAAGGCCGCCAATGGCGGAGCGGGTAGGCCACGCGCCCCTTACCCGGAAAAGCAAAATCACGTATATATACACACACGTGATTTTGCGCAGGGAGTCCTCCCTGTAGCAGTATTTCTGCTATAGGGCGGACTTAAAGTGGTTAAAACCCAACTGAAATTTCAGTTTAAAGCAGAAAAACACAATCCAAGTGCCTCAACACAAAAGGCGAGCAAAGCATTTCTTCAGAAAGCAGCTTGAGTAGAAAAGCCTGTCCCCCTGCTAGAATGCTGTAGACAAGGACCCCTGCTTCTCTCTGTGTGGAAGCAGTGGTCTCTCTGCAGATGTTTGATGAACTTTCCTGCCGAGTTAGAGACAGGGCTGTCCAGTCAGCAGAGAGCATGGGATTTGCCGATTGCAGAACTATAAGACCGACTCAGAGGGGGGTGTCGGACCTCTGCAGAGAGACAATCCAAGTTCATCAACACAAAATGTGTGCAAAGTCTGTCTTCAGAAAACAGCCTGAGCAGGAAAGCCTGTCTCCTGCCCTGCTGTCTCCATGTGGAAGCTGTGGTCTCTCTGTAGAGGTCCGATGCACACCCTGTCTGCTGCATTATAGCGCTTCAATCAGCAGGGAGAGTGCGCTTTGCCAATTGCATGATGATAGGTCTGACATAGTGGGGCTGCTGGACCTCTGCAGAGAGACAATCCAAGCTCATCAACACAAAATGTGTGCAAGTCTGTCTTCAGAAAAGCCTGTCTCCTGCTAGAATGCTGTAGACAAGGACCATTGGTCTCCATGTGGAAGCCGTGGTCTCTCTGCAGAGGTCCGATGCACACCCTGCTGCATTAGAGCGCTCCAATCAGCAGGGAGAGCGCGCTTTGCCAATCGCATGATGATAGGTCTGATATAGTGGGGCTGCTGGACCTCTGCAGAGAGACAATCCCAGCTCATAAACACAAAATGTGTGCAAAGTCTGTCTTCAGAAAACAGCCCGAGTAGAAAAGCCTGTCCCCTGCTAGACTGTTGTAGACAAGGACCCCCGCTCTCCATGTGGAAGCAGTGGCCTCTCTGCAGAGGTTCGATGCACAGCCCTGCTGTGTTAGTACCAGAGCTTCTCCAATCAGCTGGCAGAGTGGGCTTTGCTGACTGCAGAACTATAGGTTTGGCTCAGTAGGGAAGGGGGGTGCCAGACCTCTGCAGAGAGAATACTGCTTCCACCAAGAAAGCAAGGGTGCTTCTCTGCAATGTGATGGCAGGTCTTTCCATATTTTCTAAAGGGAAAAAAAAAAAAACCTATTAAAAACTGAATGTTCAGTTGGACTACCAATAGAAAAAAAAAAAGTTTTTCTTTAAACACGCCCAGCTTACCTGCCTGAAGAGAGATGCACTCAGGCCATTGTATAGGGCAAGAAAGCCGTCATTCTTGATCACAGTGATTGCCATTCCTGTCATTCTCTTCGTCACCTCTTGCTGAGTCTGCAGATGTACCTGGATAGTGGGACAAAGGGAGTCATGTGACATGGCGGCACAGCGTCAAAGTTTACAGATATTCTGCTGAAGAAAGGAATCAAAGGTCGCCCACATATCTTCTGCCATTTAAATCGCAAAGCCGCCCCCCTCCTTAATCTACAGATGGCCATTACTCCAAATCTAACCCCCCCCCCCCCTCTTCCCCACCAATGTCCTACATGTTTTTGCTGCCTCTCACAGTGACCTGATCTTCCCTCTTCACAATCACACTGTGCTGACTCACTGTGATACTGCAGCAGAAATTCCTTCACAGGTCAGATCTCAATGCGTATACATTGCCTCCGCTCATCCATTCATCCATACATCAATCAGCCATAACATTATGACCCCCCACCTACAACTGGGTAGGTTGCCCTTTTGCAATTAAAACAGCCCTGACCCATTGAGGTCAGACCCCTCGGGGGCGGGGGGTATGCTGTAGTATCTGGGACCATGCTGTCATTAGCAGATCCTCTAAGTCAGCCTTTCTCAACCTTTTCAATGCAGAGGAACCCTTGACAGAATTTTTCCGGTCTCGGGAACCCTTGCTAAAAATGACTATCTACAACTCATGATACATTAGTGTGATGGTCAGTGGGAAGAATGCTCCTTACATCTGGGGTCAGTGGGAAGAAATACCCCCTGGGTCACTGGGAAGGATTTCCCCCCTGGGTCACTGGGAAGGATTTCCCCCCTGGGTCACTGGGAAGGATTTCCCCCCTGGGTCACTGGGAAGAATTACCCCCCTGGGTCACTGGAAAGAATTACCCCCCTTATAGATTGCTAAAAACATCAATGGTGTCAGTGGCAACTTATCCAAGAGGTAGAAATTGCTCAAGGAACCCCTGGCAACCTCTGGAGGAACCCTAGTTGAGAAACCCTGCTTTAAGTCCTGTAAATTGTGAGGTGGAGCCTCCATAGATCGGGCTTGTTTTTTAGCACATCCCACAGATGTTCAATTTGATTGAGATCTAAAGACTTTGGAGGCCAAGTCAACACCTCAAACTTTTGTTCCTCAAACCATTCTGGAACCATTTTTGCAGTGTGACAGGGCACATTACCACTGCCATCAGGGAATACGGTTTCCATGAAGGGGTGTACTTGGTCACCAACAATGTTTAGGTAGGTGGCACGTGTCAAAGTAACATCCGCATGAATGGCAGGACACAAGGTTTCCCAGCATCTTCCTGGACACTGACTACTCTTGCCTGCTTCAACTTGTGCCTGGACACCGACTACTCTTGCCTGCTGCCAGCCTCAAACTCTGTCTGGACACCGACTACTTATCCCACCGGCCTGTCTGCACATAGACTACTCTTGCCTACTGCCTGCCTTGACCTCTGCCTGGACAGTGACTACTCTTGCCTGCCTCAACCTCTTCCTGGAGGCTGACTATTCCTGCCTGATGCCTGCTTCAACTTGTGCCTGGACACTAACTACTCTTGCCTGCCACCCGATTCAACTTGTGCCTGGACACTGACTATTCTTGCCTGCCTTGACCTATGCCTGGACACTGACTATTCTTGCCTGCCTTGACCTCTGCCTGGACAATGACTATTCTTGCCTGCCTTGACCTATGCCCGGACACTGACTATTCTTGCCTGCCTTGACCTCTGCCTGGACAATGACTATTCTTGCCTGCCTTGACCTCTGCCTGGACAATGACTATTCTTGCCTGCCTTGACCTCTGCCTGGACAATGACTATTCTTGCCTGCCTTGACCTATGCCTGGACAATGACTATTCTTGCCTGCCTTGACCTATGCCTGGACAATGACTATTCTTGCCTGCCTTGACCTATGCCTGGACAATGACTATTCTTGCCTGCCTTGACCTATGCCTGGACAATGACTATTCTTGCCTGATGCCCGCTTTAACTTGTGCCTGGACACTGACTGCAGTTGCCTGCTGCCAGCCTCAACATCTGCCTGTTCACCGGCTACCTATTCCACTGGCCTGTCTGCACATAGACTACTCCTGCCAGCCTCAACCTCTGCCTGGACATGGACTACTCTTGCCTGCCCCCTGCTTCGATTTGTACCTGCCACCTGCCACAACCTCTGCCTGGACACTAACTACCCTTTCCTGCCACGGGCCTCAACCTTTGCCTGGACACTATTTATCCCACCAGCCTGCTACTCACAGACTACTCTTGCCTGTTGCCTGCCTCAAGGTCTCCCAGAACATGGACTACTCTTGCCTGGCTGGACAGTGACCAATCTTGCCCACCACCTGCCTCAAAACTCATCCTGTACTCCAGCTACTCCTGTCTGCTCGGAAATGGCGATAGGCGTTTACAATGCACACCTGCGTGTTTGGAGAAAATGGAGGCTAATTTGGTTCACTGATTGTCATGTATGTGCGTGTTTGGCACTCTAGATAATGAATGAGTATATCCCTGAGAAAGTCACCTGACCATCCTTCTGCCGTCTCAGCAATGTATTGGCGCTCTCAGCGAGACTCCGATGAGGAATTTCCCTTGTAAACCACACGCTCCGCAGGACATAACACTTACTATGGGAGTTTATGACATGAACACTCCCTGCTGTCACAATGACAGGTCCTTGAAAAACGCACACCACGTGCCCCAACCACCTCAAAACCACCGTCTTTTCCCCCTTCCCCCGAACATGTGCCTCCCTCTCCAATTACAGAGCGTTCTACTACAAGGGGACACCTGCACCAATAATAGGCTACACATGCTGCCCCTTCTGCCGAACACGCCACAATGACACCAACAGGCTGGGAAAAAACAACGAATGACCGACAAGAGGGGATGGCGAAGTGAGCACATCTCATGGTCGTTCATTTGGTGTCACTAGATGGGGGCGTGAGCACATCTCATGGTCGTTCATTTGGTGTCACCAGCCGGGGGCGTGAGCACATCTCATGGTCATTCATTTGGTGTCACCAGCTGGAGGCGTGAGCACATCTCGTGGTCGTTCATTTGGTGTCACCAGTCGGGGGCGTGAGCACATCTCATGGTCATTCATTTGGTGTCACCAGCCGGGGGCGTGAGCACATCTCGTGGTCGTTCATTTGGTGTCACCAGATGGGGGCGTGAGCACATCTCATGGTCGTTCATTTGGTGTCACCAGCCGGGGGCGTGAGCACATCTCGTGGTCGTTCATTTGGTGTCACCAACCGGGGGCGTGAGCACATCTCATGGTCGTTCATTTGGTGTCACCAGATGGGGGCGTGAGCACATCTCATGGTCGTTCATTTGGTGTCACCAGCCGGGGGCGTGAGCACATCTCATGGTCATTCATTTGGTGTCACCAGCTGGAGGTGTGAGCACATCTCATGGTCGTTCATTTGGTGTCACCAGCTGGGGGCGTGAGCACATCTCATGGTCGTTCATTTGGTGTCACCAGCCGGGGGCGTGAGCACATCTCATGGTCGTTCATTTGGTGTCACCAGCCGGGGGCGTGAGCACATCTCATGGTCGTTCATTTGGTGTCACCAGCCGGGGGCGTGAGCACATCTCATGGTCGTTCATTTGGTGTCACCAGCCGGGGGCGTGAGCACATCTCATGGTCGTTCATTTGGGGTCACCAGCTGGGGGCGCTGCAGATGGTTCACTCATACAGGGTGGAGCTGAAATGGTAAAAGGGTGAGAAGGCTAAAACAGCCATCCTACAATGACAGACACTGCTCTAAAACTCAGCTGGATTGGTTTGTTAGAAAAAGAACCTCCAAACAAAAGCTCCCCACACACGTTACAATCTGATTGTACAATCTCATGTAGAGCTACCAACAATTATGCAGTGCAAGGGGGTTTCTGATCAGTTTGGATGGATTAGATAGATCTTCATATTACACAGTTTTGGTAGATCGAACGTTGATTGTACAGTCAAATTGGAATGTGCATGGCGGGCTGTAAGGCGGCTATATACACTATACAATCTGATTGTACAATCTCCTTTAAGCTCATCATACACTAAACAGTATTACTATACAATCTCCTTTAGACTAGGTTCACACCTATGCAGTTTGCGTTTGACCCATTTCTGCCACGTTTTGCATTTTTTTTTTCTTCTTGTTGCTAGGCAGATTTAATAACGCAAAGCGCATCAAAAACACAGCAAAAAAACACAATACATGCTTTTCTGCAGCTTCTCCATTGAAGTCTATAGAACCAAAAATGCAACTTTTTGCGTTCAAAAAAATCCCTGACCCTTTCCACAAAACGCACCAGGTGAAACCGCTCAGATGTGAACGTGTCCCATAGGAAATCATGTTCAATGGACTGTAGAAAACACTTAGGTGTGAACATGGGGTTAGATCTACCATCACTTATGCAGTGCAAGGATCAGCCGGGTTCGATAGATTGATTGGATAGATTAGGTTTGTGCTCCTCTTATATCGTTTTGGTAAATCTAAGTCTAGGTTCACACCTATGTGGTTTCTGAAACGCACAGCAGTCCATTTAACATGATTTCCTATGGGACAGGTTCAAATCTCTACGCTTTCACCCGGTGCGTTTTTTTGGAGAGGATCAGAGACTTTTTTTAAATGCAAAATGTTGCGGTTTTTGTTCTATAGACTTCAATGGAGAAGCTGTAGCAAAGCATGTAGTGCGTTTTTGACACATTACAGGGCCGTGTATTGTAATTTCTTGGATGAGAACCTTCTTCCCTCAGACAGAACACTGGAGATGGGTCGTTGATGGGTCGTTGATGGGTCGTCGATGGGTCTTCCAGCATGACAATGACCCAAAACATACCGCCAAGGCAGTGGCTCAAGAAGAAGCCCAGTAAGGTCATGGAGTGGCCTAGCCAGTCCCCAGATCTTAATCCTATAGAAAATGTATGGAAGGAGCTGAAACCGCGAGCTGCCAAGTGACAGCCAAGAACCCTTAACCACTTCCAGTCCGGACACTTTCCCCCCCTTTCCAGCCCGGACGCTTTCCCCCCCCCTTCCAGTCCGGACGCTTTCCCCCCCCCCCCCTTCCAGTCCGGACGCTTCCCCCCCCCCCTT